CCCATCTGTCCCCTCCCCTGCTAAACCCAAGTTTTCTTTTGTAAATTCTGTGGGAATATGATTAGGCAAAAGCATTTGTATACAGTCTTAATGTTAAATAAATGCTTAATATTTCTCATCCTGAAGGGAATGCTGAGAGCCTAATGCTGTAGTCAAATTTTTATATACAATTTCTATTCATTTTAGCTGGCATTACGCACAAATAAGGACTTCAGTAAGCATAGAGTGATCATTTTCTTTGCCATCAATTTTCTGTTCATTTCATTGGGATGTGCAAATATATAATTATTTACACCATTTCATGTTGCAATATAAGTAGAATGGAAATGCAGATTTCAAGAATTGTACAATTCTGGAAAAAAATTGCACTGGAAATAGACGTACTTCACAGATTATGCAAAATTAATTTCTAAAAATGCTTTGTAATGTTTTCCTTTTTTTTTCCTGAGTCATCGAAGAAATTGTCTGTAATATGCTGAGATATCTAATTATTATTCTTACTAATTGATCTTATTCCTATGGGTTGGGAAAATTAAACTAACACTAGTCTTGCTGATCAGTGACAAGGCTGGAAAAACATTTACTTGGCAGCTCTCAGCACTTTGGGATAGATTTGTTCATGTGGTTATGTCTAAGTTTTGGTGAAGGGTGATGGGACTTTTGAGACATGTAGCAACTCCTATGGATTTAATGAGTCTAATCACTTCTATTTGTTGGCTATTTTGAACTGGACTCTCGGCATCTAGTTGTAGAGAAAGGTACTTTACAGGTGTTTTTGCTGAATGGATGGGACAAGATTAGTTTTTAAGGGGTTCACTTTGCTGAAATCTCTCGTCTGTTACTGCAAAAGATGTTTTCAATTGACTTGCCTCACTGCCTAGATTCTCCTCCCAACTCCTCTTCCACAAAACTTAAAAAAGTCAGAAGTCAATTTGTGATTACAGTGAGTGTTTTTGTATTTTGCAATATAGATTAATTTTTTGTCTTTTTCCTATTTTTTTTTTTTTATTTTTTTAGAAAAGCTAAATTCAATTTAGGTAAATTGGAGAGATGTTTTATAGGAAGGAAACCCTCTATAGTCTGTTGAATAGTTTATTGGTCAAACAAAAAAGTGTTTAGCATTAGTCAGAAGTGAATTTTATTGCTGTAATAATTATAAATTATTAGTATATGTTATGCTAATCTAGGAGCTGCTCTAATTAATTAATTTTTTTCCCACTGACTGCTGACTACCTCTTCTAAACTCAGAGTAATCCTGTGTGCTCTGTAAACTTGCCAGAAACACAGCCAGCCACTCAAGAGCACATTCTTGCCTGTTAAATATTTTTGTGCAGATCTTGTAAGCTAGAAGTGCTAGAAGGATATGAATACACATAGTCTGAATCTGAAATGTTGCTGAAGTTCTCAGATTTGCTAAACTTACATGAGGGAGGCAAAGAGATGATATAAAAATCACACCATATGCATTTTCTTTATTGGGCAAAATACTGGGTTCGGACACATCTGGCATTAGAGCAATTGATACAAGTATTATATACAATTGTTTTACTTGTAATGTCAGCCTGTTACTAAAAGGGACTCTTGAAACTGTGTCAGTTACAGGGTAACATGCTGATATTGTGTCTCAGTTGAATGCCTTTAAAATGCCTGCACTGGTCACTCTTCACATCCTCATTCCCCTACTAACCTGGATGTGCCATCTTTGAAACTAGGACAGAAATCTAATCACAATCCACTGCTGCATAAATTGAAACTGTAGTTCCAGATCGAAGGTTAGTCTGCCCTAACACACTTTGGGATACTTAAAAACATTAATGCTAATATTAGTAATTTATTATACTTGTCCTTTTTATTGCTATATGTTCTCCTTTTTGTCTTTTATGTTCACTATATACAATGCTTGTATTGTTGTTTTGTACAATACCATTTTAATTAAAGAAATTCAATTACAGAAATTAAATAAATATCTTTATTTATAATTAAAGGAATACTGACAGCTTCTCCAATTGCAACTATAATTTGAAATGGGATAAAAGATTTTATTTGGATGGCATACATTAATGTTTAATTTGTAGTAGAATTTCCTCTTGGTTTTTAGCCCAGAAATGATAACAACTTCTTATGGAACAATCATTTTTGTCACACAGACCTGTTAGGTGAATTCTTGAGTTGAAATTCAAGATTCAGTTGATGAAAAGTACATTCCCACTATGCCCCACAGATGGTCATGTTTTCCATCCAAGATTTAGTAGCATCAGTAATATGTCTGAGATGCAGTTTCTGTATATGACAAATTACAGAAGTAATTGTAATGTTGCTATTTTATTTATTTCTATTTTTCTACTATATTTAACATTGAAATTAAAATTTTAGATATGCACACTGACATAATAGACACAAGCCTTTGAGAAGCTTCCTTGCAAAATCTCTCACCCTCCCCCCCAAAGTAAAAAAAAATAATTTTTTTTAGTAATCCAAGTGCTGTGAAAATTTTCATATTTTCAAAGGAAAGCTTTTTGTGTACAGGTGAAACAATATCCATTTTCCGTTCTCAGTGTCAATAAGGCAGGAAAAAAAGGCATGCATATAGTTGTTACAAGTCTGAATGGATTTCTGGCTATGTTTTCCTTTGCCCATGAGGTCTAACATCAATTAGTATCTTCCTGTGAAAAATATTAATTTCACAAGTTTTTATCTTCCAGTGAAAATATTACCTATGGGGCAAAGTTTGCTTAATATGTGGTTTCTCTATTGCACTCACTTCTAGAAATGAAAGAAAATACTGAGGTACAAAAGTATTTATTTAGAGCTAGCTTATATGGACTTTCTTACTTTATGAGAAATTCCAAGATATCTGTACCTTAAGGGGCAGAGTCCTTTTCTCAGTTATGTAATAGGTGACAAATGAATTTAGAAGAGCTTGCTGTAAAGGCTGTGACTGAAAAGAATGACTCCTGGCCCATCAATAATTTCTCTAAAGCTGTGGTAGCTCTACAGGCAGGACTCTTCAATATCCAAAGAAAAAAGAGACCTTCTGCATAACATGTGAAAACTTTTAGAATTGCAGCAATATTACTGTTATGAACAATTTAATCTCTATTTTCTAAGACAATATATGCAAGAATGGTATTTTTTTCAGAAACTCAGTTATTTTGTATGTGTTTGTTCTCCTGAATTAGGTGTGAGGAGGGATCCTTTGGTCTTCAGAAATGTCTTTTGGTGGCTTGATAAAAATACTGGCAGCTTGTTAAATTAACTGTGCTCCCACTGCTGGGATTAGAGGCCATGAATCTCAGCCTCTGCAGCAGATACTGCAGCTGGAAATACCTGGGAACCTCAAAGTACAGCAAAAGTGTTTATTTCTGAGCCAGGCAAAGTTATGATTTTCCTTAAGCATGGACATTGTCGGTTGAGCTTTTTTACTAGAAGGTGTTTGCTTGTGTACAGTTGCTTTTTTGCAGGTGTTTTAATAGTATGACTGATTTTCATTGCCTAGAGAATGTTTTGTATCTGTGACTGCATCATATGGTTTACATGAAAGCATTTATGTGATTAGGGAATGGAGTCAAAGCATATTTCTGAAGGGTCTAAGTAATTAACAAGCACAATGTAGTATGAATTTGCATCAGAATTAGGATTATTCAATTTTTTTAAATATAGGTGCTATCTTCACTGAAACTTTAATGTCTTATTGTTTTCTGCCTGACCTAAGATAGTGAAAATATTGAATAGTTTGATAGAATTGGGCAAAACCCAATAACTTACTGTGTTCTGTGAAAGCATCTTATGCAGAAATGTCACGAAAGTGTATAGTATGAGTGGATGTTGCTATTGTTGCCTTTTCATTTTCCTTTGCAAAAAATTGGTCCAGTTGTGGCATGGGTCCAATGTGCACTCAGCTCATGATATCTGGGTTTGTACATTAGAGAAGCTGGGCCAAATTGGGCATATGGTTTTGCAAGTTTTTTCTTTCTTTCTGTAAGATCATATTCCAGGAGATAGCTTAAAAAATAGTCATAAGATAGTAATGCAGCACTGTGGTTTTCCAAAGTTTCTTTATTCATAATGATACTTCTTGAAACTGAATACATAATTTATGAGTTGTTTCATTAATGTGCCCTTAGATAGTTCCTGAGTGAGTTTATACACTGCACTGCCATATTCCAATAATTTCAAGCTGTTTAATTAGCTTGTTTTGATATTTTATTTGTGGTAAAATGTAATGTAAAAAAATCCTGTGTTTTTTTCCTTGTATGTCATTTAAATGACATGTCATGTGCTGAAATTTTGTCAAAAACCACATGGACAACTATTGATAGTGATCTGGAAAGTCCTTAATTAAATGTAGTTCGTCCATTATTCCTTGGGGTATTTCCCGTTTTTGTTAAAACATTTTCCAAATGTTCTATGTGCACTTAGATATATGTATTTATTAAAGAATATATATATATA